GCGAATTTTTAATTGCGACGCACGATTCGAGCGATGTCTGCTGTCTCACTGTCTGGTTTCCCCCGGTTATCCGGTACCAGTGTTTTTATTTTACCGATACTGGCTTGCAACGTTGCAATGACCTAAATCGAATCTTACCTAGAATACCGGTACCGGGTACTTTTTATAGTATTACTCGGTACCGGTAATACGGAGATGTACCTATATTTGACAACTCTAAATTTACGACGCTCGTCTTATAGCTGCCAAGATGTTACACTTGGAAATCAACCAATACGCTCGGGATAATCACCACCACTGCCGACGCGAATACTAAGACGGAGAGCTCGGCATCTCTCGAGTCCGCACGATGAGGGCCGAAAGTAAAAATCGCCGTCGTAAAATTTACGAAGCTTATCGTTCTAGGGTTAATGTAGCTCAAGTTATCTGGGCAAACGGGGAGAACAGTTGACGGGTCTATAATGGGAGCTTACACAAACATTTGGTCTTGTGCTAACGTCGCAACTGGGGTCCTTGACATTGAGCTTTTGCAGGCCCGCAATCATATAGTCTAGATTGTCGCCGCATTTCACGGGATGTTTGTCTTTCAACGGGGGCGTATGAAAATCCTGATATTGCGGATTCTGATAAACATTATCGTCGTAGTACGTCTCGGCAGAACGATCGTACTCATAACAAAACTCGTTGTTATCCATTGGGTTAGATAATTCATCATGAGGTGTAGGTATATATGCAGGGTATTGGGTATAATAGTATTCACTGGGATAGTGTTGTACAGATCAGGTTCGCTGTACTCGGAATATTCGTATGAATCTGGAGCAACGTAATTAATACGGGATGGAGGATGATTATTAGATCTGAAATTCCTTTAGAAATTGGCTTTGAAAACCTGGATTTAACTGAATGACAGACGGTCTTGGTGCCTTTGTATTTGGCACATTGGGTCTTATGACAGACGATCGAAATTGATTAGGATTAGAAGGTATATTAGTCTGCATCGGCTGACTAGTAGTGTAATCATATTAAACGAACATACCCCTGGTTTGCGAAATAATTGTGAAGTCTGGTTTTATTGCTCCAGGTTGTTCAAGGAGGTATTCAAAACATTGACGCATAAAATGGGTACACCAATTTTTGTGGGAAAATTTTTAATTCGACAACAAAGAATGAGAAAACGTGTTTTTGGGATTCAATCGAAAGGTTTGGCAAGAACTCTTTATATAAGATTTTTAGATATTTATAAGACCTACAGAATGAGACCACACGTAAAAAGATCCGACTAACAGCAAAAAAGTTATGGCCGGTAACCTAGTCAAACTGCAGGTTTTAGCTCTTGTTGGTAATGCAACAATAGTTTCTCGCAGATACTTGAAATTCGTAGGATTCGTACTTCTAAAGAACCAACAAAATTGAAGTAGATTGGGCAAGTAGTTTTTGAGAATTTCTAATTGTTTATCCCAAAACACTTGTTTTCCGGCCATCACTACTAATTTATTGAGCAATATACACACGCATTCTTTCAACAGGTTAAAACTGCATTTTTGTTCATCCTTAAAGTACTTGGATATATTTGCATGTTTTGCTAATTTTAGTCGCAATAATTTCCTTAGAGGCTCTGTCATAGACGCTAAATTAGCGATCCATTTACCTATATAATTAACAAGTCCTAGAAAACTCTGCAACTCATCCACAGTTTCCGGGCATCGGAAAGTTTTGATTACCGATATGTACATATTTATCAAGCGGCTTGATGCCTTGTCTTGATAGTTCGTGCCCCAGAAATTTTATGACAGCAATATTGTAAACACATTTATTCTCATTGAGAAGGACATTGTTTTCTTTCAAAATATTGAGTGTAAATTTCAATCTTCTATTATGTTCCAGTTCGTTTTCGCCGTATACGACTATGTCGTCTATAAAATTTACAGTTCCTTCGCAGTGAGTCAGAATGCGTTCCATTATTTTTTGGAAAATTTCTGGGGCACACGAAATACCAAACATTAAACGCTTATATCTTAAAAGACCTTTGCTAGATATAAATGTAGTAATAGGTCTCGATGCTTCGCTAATTTCGATTTGATGGAAAGCATTTTTTACGTCCAGCCTTGAAAAAAGTCTTGCTTTTCTGAAGTTTGGCATCATCTGATCCATTGTTGGTAATGGATGATTTTCTCTTAGTATCGCCATATTTGCTCATATCGATACAAAGTCTAACTTCCCCATCTGGTTTTAGAATGGGTACCATAGGTGATACCCATCTGGAAGGGCCATCTACTGGTTCAATTATGTCTGAATTTACCATTTCCTCAATTTTTTTAAGCACTCTGGTTTCCAGGGGGATTGGTATCCTGCGATATGGCTGAATCACTGGTTTTATGCTCTGATCAATGGGAATATCGACTACAACATTTTAAACTTGGGAAAAGCAGATATGGCATTAACCTCTGATTGAACAGAAATTCCAATCCGTAGGACACCTAAAGACTTCGCTGTATCTTTTCCTAACAGGTTTCTCGTACCATTTTGTACTACGTAAAAAGTCGTCCGAGTTACAAACTCGCTTACCTTAATCTCAGCATCAAAACACCCAAGAATAGTTAACGGTTCTTTGCTAGCATAAGCCATGAGAATTTTCTTGGGTCGTTTTATTTGATTTGACACCGATACCTGCGAATTCTTTAGGTACGTCCATGTTTCGTCATTTAATATGTTACACTTGCTACCAGAATCGATTACCATCTGAACTGGTATTCCTCCAATCATACATAATATGTCACAATCATTGTCAATGTGGAACACATAGTTTGTGTTGTGATCGTCGTCGTCCTTGTCTGGCTCTCTGTATCTTGATTTCTTGACCGTGTGCTTCTTTTCCCCGGCTTAGTTCTGCACTGCTTGCTGACGTGTCCTTTGTAGCCACATTTCTTGCAAATTTTCTCTCTTGCTGGACAGTTAAAAGAAATGTAGCCTTTTGAGCCACAACGAAAACATGATTTTATCTCTGAGGCTCTAAATTTTTTTTAGTATTATTGTTTATTTGGTTCACTTCAATGCCTGTTTTCTTTTCAGCAAATTCTTCCATTTGTCTTGATACTGCTTCCAATGCATTTGCTTCAGCAACAATGTTTTCTAATGAGATGGAGTCTCCAATTGTTAATATTTTCTTCCGAAGGTCAGATGAGTTGCATTTTTCAACGATTTGGTCTATAATGTTTTCTTCGGTGTTGCTAAATACGCATTTCTCTGCCTGATTTCTCAGCCGCACAAGGAATTTTTCGAACTTTACATCCATCTCCTGTTTTATTAGCCGAAAAACATGTCTTTCGTACACCTTGCTTTGTTTTGGTGCGAAATATTCATCTAGCTTTCTTATAGCTATCTCGTAGACATTCACTGGATTTTCAACGTCTTCGGTTTGTTCAGAAATATTAGATACAGGTAGGTTGTAATATATTTCTTGTAACCCTAGCCCACCGATGTGTAGCAAATTTGCTCTCTTCTTAGCGGGACTGTCGATGTTAGCTGCTTCTAGATACACTTCTAGTGCTCTTTTCCACTTTTGCCATCTGACAGCTACCGAGCAAACTTCGCATCGCAGTCAAAAGGCTCCAACGAGTTTAATGTTGACGTGATGACCTGAAATTAAATGTAATTGCTACTTTTGTACAAAACTCACATTGTATGCATATACATTTTAGGATCGATGGATCTAAGTCAAATTCATTCTTTGTTCATATATGTGTCATATTCAGCAAAGCTACGCAGTGTTATGTATCATATTCATATTCATGCCTTGATGTATCTTATTCATCAAAGTAGCCCAACACATACATCTACATTCAACGTTCGATGTGTCCTATTCATCGAGGTCGTTCGTCTGGACTTTGGTGTTTCTTATTCACCAGTTATATAGTGTTATGTATCATATTCATAATCACTGGTTTGATGTATCTGATCCATCAAAATTATACTTTATGCAACCTATGTATCATATTCATAGTTACTTCTTCCATGTATCATATTCATGAAAGTTATTCTTTGTTTAGTGCTGTGTCATATTCATAGATTATCAAAACAACTTTTTTTTTTCTCGCAGTTTATCTTTTCTGCCTTTTCTACGTGTTTTGACACTTAATCTTAAGTACATTGATCAATACTTTAATTGAGGAGTAAATGTACCCACATACCTTTTGTCCTCGTCGCCAATATGTAGTGTCGTGTAAATAATATTATTATTTACGTTCGTTTCCAGTCACACAATGATACACGGATATCTCGGTACGACCTTCTCCCGGCGGGTGTGCTCGACCGACTCACCGACTGACTCGCAGATAAGACGGCAACTCCGTCTCCGTCGTTCACCCAGCGGGGGAATAGATCTTTTAAGGTGGCCCTAGACGGTCAATCATTTTGATCAAATGCGTCAATCGATTGACGCGTGCTTCAAGCAACCCTCAGTCGTTTGTTCAAAACACATTTTGCTGTGGTACTTGGTGCTGTTCGTTTGTATTATTTTTATACCGTGTTTTTCGTGGCTGAAACAATGGTTTCAAATACAGATATTGGCTTTATCGCCTTGACTTTAGCGATCGCACTGAAGCAGAAGAAGAAGAGGAAACGCAGGTGGTCAAAGGAATGGTACAAATTGAGAAACCGCTTTACTCACGAACATTTAATAAACGTTCTACGTGAAACGGAACCAGAAGACTACAGAAACTTTCTCAGAATGAACGAAAAAAATTTCGACCATTTATTGGATTTGGTACGACCAAAAATAGAAAAAAAGGACACTGTTATGCGAGAAGCGATTCCTGTAACTCAGAGGCTAAGCATCACATTGAGATACCTAGCTTCTGGCATGGATTTGGAAGATCTGAAATTCATGTGTGCCATTTCTCCTCAGAGTCTGGGACTCATCATTTTGAAAACTTGCTCAGCAATTATCGACGCATTAAAAGATAATATTCAGGTATGTATTTTTATTACATTCCGATTAATTAACACATATCAATTTGAAAAACAGAAATTTAAATAAACAGAAATGTCAGTACAATAAAAATGAAGCTAATAAAATAAAAATGCCATGTTTCAAAAATATGATAGAGAACGAAATTCCAAAATTATAATACGTACTAAAGAAAAAGTAGGCACCTTCCCGTTACAATGAAAACTAAAATACATAATAACATAATTTTACATTGAAGACAAATTTGAGAAAAATTCTGCTGCATTCGTTTCCTCCGACTTTTCTTCAATGGGTGTTGCTGGGAACGTTCCGTTGGGAGAGGGGGTCCCACTTGAAGATGCACTGTAATTTATTTGTGCTGAAGGCATGTTGTATGGTAGGTTAGAGGACATAGGATAATTGTGATAAGTTGTTTGTGAGGGTGACGATGAGGATGGCGAAGGTGTCCTAAGTGGGTGCGAAACAAAACGTACTCCGTCCCTTGTCAAGGTGCGCATTTCTGCTTCAAAAAGCACATCATTGATGATTTTTTCTGCAAAGCGTCTTTGATCTGGACGTAACTTTTTCAATTTCATTGCCCAGCCTTTAGCTAGTATGTCCTCTTCGGTCTCAGGCCGCTTAAAATACTCTGTAGCCAGTCCCACTAGTTGTCCAGTAGGATCTGGCGGAACTTTTTTTTTCTTATTTTGAGAGTGAACTGTTGATTCGGCAGCAGGTGGTGCAGTTGGAGTAGAAGAAAGCGCTGCACTTCCGGAACCATGTACTGGCTGAGAGTCCTCAGTTAAGGGTGTCCAAAAAAAAGAGAAATAAAAAATAATAATAATAATTGAATAAATTAAAAATTATTTTATGTTCAATTTTTTGTTTGAGGTTCCAAAAACTGAAGAGGGATGGAAACAGGTTGCACAAGATTTTGAAGAAAAATGGAACTTTCATAACTGCGTAGGGAGTGTTGATGGCAAACATGTAGGGATCCAACAACCTTCCATTCTGGGTCTTATTATTACAACTACAAAGGGTTCTATAGTATTGTGCTTAAGGCTATAGTTAATGCAAATTATCAATTTATGATGGTCGATGTCGGAGCGAATGGGCGAGTGTCAGATGGTGGAGTGATGAAGAACACGTTATTTTGGCGCAAGTTGTCTGAGAATAAACTAAACATGCCTGATTCTCGTGAGTTACCAGGTACTAACGAAAAATTTCAGTTTGTTTTCATTGGTGATGAAGCTTTTCAGCTACTCCCTAATTTTATGAAGCCCTACAACAGAGCTGTTTTGACCGATGAAAAAAGGGTTTTCAATTATAGATTGTCCCGACCACGGAGAATCGTAGAAAATGGGTTTGGGATATTAATAAAGAGGTTCAAAATCCTTCAAAATGACATAAAATTTGAACCAGATAAAGGTAGAAAAATTGTTTTGGCATGCTGTTATTTACACAACTACTTGTGCTCAAAAAATAGTGGAAACTATATACAATCTCATGACGTCGATAATGAGAATACTTCTACGGCTAATGTGGAACTTGGTTCATGGAGACAAGGAACTCAAGAGATGTTACGACTTCAAAGAACCAAAGGCAACTCGGCAGTTGAAGCAAAAAAAATAAGGGATGACTTTTGCGAATTCTTCAACACCTGCGGTTCAGTGCCATGGCAAAACAGGTACCTGAATATTTAGATTCAACAAATCTTAACAGAAGCATAGTATTGTGTAATAAATAAATAAAAATAAATAAATAAAACATTTCTTTGAGTCATCCTGCATGATTGTGTTTACCTATGATGAATGGAAAACAGTAAGGTTACATGTAAAAAGAATTAGGTTACATAAACAGTATTTACAGACCGTAAAAGGATTTGGTTCCATAAATAGAATAGGTATGTACTGTATTTACTGTAATTCATAATTTCAAGGTTGGTAGATACGATGAAAAATTTTCTTACCTCTGAAGTTTCTGTTGGTGCGACTTCAATCTGATCTTTTATGAAAGAAAGTTCGTTGTAGTACCACAGTGCCGGTTCTCGGATGTCATCCGCTGACGCCCCGCACAGTCTTGTTGCTTCGATTAACCTGAACTCCCTGTTGAAATTTGTTCTCAAACTATTAATTTTTTGCTTTAATTTCTTTTCATTGTAGTCCGGTTTCAGCGTTTGAACTTGCTTTTAACTTTCCACAGCTGTGGACAGTCTCTATACAAATCTATAAGTAGGCTAGTGAATTCGCGATCTGGTTGCGAAATTTCATCAACGTTGGAAGAGAGAACCCTACATGGTTGCTGACTGGCGCGTGACTGACGGAAAATTTGATCAAAACCCACGTAGACGATCAAGCGCCCTCTTCAAGCACTCCCGTCAATCAAACTTTCTATCAATCACCGTCAATGCTTGGCTCAAGCGTCAAACTGGTTCCTAGACGATCAATCTCGCTTGACTCAATCTGTTGACTCAAGCATTTGATCAAAATGATTGACCGTCTAGGGCCACCTTTATTCATTCAATATACTACAGTTACCTCATTTGTTTTTTCACTAAAGTACCTAACACATACACATATATTTTTTACTACACCTATGTCTGTAGATTCATCTACTAAAATGCTTAACTTTTTTGCTTTTAGTTCATCGATTAGTTCTTCAAAATGAGATTTGGCTGAAACATGTTTTATAACACCTGTTGCTTTGGTTCTTCCCATCTGCATTCCTTGGGCAATTTTCGAGTCAGGAAATATGTCTTTTAATAAAGGAATCAGATGATCACACAGCTTGATGGGTAGATTATGCTCTGATATTAATGCAGCAATTTTTATTTCTGCCCTACTCACTTGACCACTAGATTCGTTTTTATTAGAAAACATAGTAGAAATTTTTGGTTGATTTTTCACAATCACCTTTACATTTTTTAAATGTTTAGCTCCCTTTCTGTGATTTTTCAATACAGTTAAATCTGCTTGAATTTCACTATCACAAGCACATTTTGCTCGAGTGGGTTTTTCTAAAAACAAAAATGCATATCATTAAAAGTATAAAATGGTTTTATGTTATTTTTTCTACCTTTAACAGCTTTCAACCATCCTTTGAAATGAGGATTGCTTTCCCATTCACATCTATATTTTTGTGGTCTATTTTCTCGTCTGTTTTTGAACTTTAACCTTTTTGCCTCCCTTTCTGAATCCGAAGAGTCGGAGTAATCATGATGATCCCCTTTGCTGGTACTGGCCATTTTATTTCACTATTTGATCACATCAACACACATTAATAAGGACTCATTCGATCAACTACTCTTGCTCGTATTGAAAAAGAAACAATGAGGATTAGGGTATTCCCCTGCGTAGGCTCAAATTCACCGAGACTCGAGTTCCGTAATATTTACATAGATGGCGGTAGGCTTGATTTTTATTCTAATTCCATAATAACCATGCTATTAACTGAAAGAGGTCAGCACTAATAATTATTATCCTTTTTGTTACGTTGCTTTGGTTGCATACAATTAGAACCAATAATTTTGAAAACATAGTTATAGGCTGGGAGATGGAAAAATATAATATGTTACAATTATCGATTATGTTACATCTTTTTATTTACTGTATATTTCAGTAGAAAATATGGTACAATTTGATAATTATGTTACAAGTGGCAACACTGTAAGGAATATATGGCTACCCCAAAAGACGTTTCATGTTGCCAGATTTCATATAATGTCTGAAAAATATGCGCTTCCTGGGGTGGCGTTATTAGGATCTATGGCAATATTTGGTAAACTTACCTTAATCAATCACGCATGTTGGTTTTTGAATAACCTTATCTCGCTTATTCAAAGTAGTAATTTGGTTAGAATGTTTTGTGCTTAGGATGAGGACGTCCCGTTTGTCTTTCCATTTTTGCACTGTTATGCCTGTATTACTTTCTTCAGCAGCGATTTCACATTTATTAAGTTTCTTATCTATTGTCTTTTCAGGATTTGATTTTCTGTTAGATCGCAAAGTACCTATAAGGTGCGTTTCTCTGTCTAACAAATTATGAGCCAAAGAGACTGATGTATAATAGTTATCAGTACAAAGAGTTCTGCCACAGTCTAATAAATTATCTAACAACGTCATAACTACTTTTGTTGGCACAGATTCCATCAAACTCCTTTCCACAATAAATGCGAAAGTTATATGTAAAACCGCCTTTTAAACAAAGTTTAAACAGTTTAATCCCAAATTTATGCCTCTTGTTACTTATGTACTGCTTGAATTTCAAACGTCCCTTGAATGGAAGTAGGGTCTCGTCGAAACATAAGTATTCGCCAGGAATAATATATTTTTGAAAAGATTTCTGCAGCTTCTTTATAAGTGGTGTAATTTTTTGCAACCTGTCCTCAGACTATTGAATTATCGCTGAAATGTAACATCTTCAATAATAACTGGAATCGATTGCGTGACGTAACGCTCCGGATACGGTTTTGAAATAAAATGTTTTTTGACCAGTACATTTACATATTAGAAAAGTGGCACAAACCAAACCATAAAATGATGCCAAACATTTTTTTGATTTCTTCTGGAGAAGTATCATGCATGTGTGATACGAGACTTTGGGAAAATATTTTTTTCTAGGCATTGCTTCGCATATCGGTTAGTTTCTACAACCTGCAACCGAAAATGTTTTGAACAATCTGTGCAAATTATGTAACAAAATAAGCTTACCATCAGCTCTATTATTTCATCATTTAGAAACAAGCCGTAAAATGCATAAGGATCTTTGTCAAAGTATTTCTCGTACAGCTCAGGAAGAAATTCATGTTGTGTTAGTGTAAATCCAATTTTTGTCAGATTATTCCCTGTCGCTGAACCCCAAGTTATTTCAAGATGTGCATTGCGTGAATCCTCGGCCATATCTTCAAGAGCAAATTTTTTAATTACTTCGTCTATTGTTTGATCCATTGAAGAGGGGAATTCAGTTGGAGCAACGACAGTACTAGTGCTGGGAATAGCGAGTAATTTCTGCCTCTTCGAGCCTACAGTTTGCTCATAATCGGAGTCGTCTTCGTCAGACGAAGCTGGTACATAGTCATCTGAAATGTCATCGGACACTGGATTATTTTCCTCGTCAGACATAAGTTCTTGCCACAATCGCATCAACCTTTCTTGCTCTTTTTCGTATGACATTATCACAAAGGCAATTGCAAAAATACACTCGCACGTAGATAGTCAATGTCAAGACAACATAGATAAACTACCGGCTGAATAAATTTTCGCGCCGAATAAGCTAAATCGTCGCGTTACCTGTATCGCCATCGGTGATTGGCTGAGCCAGTGGCGTGATCCTGGAGATGTTTCCAAGTATCGATACGTATTTCACTCGATACAGAAAATAGAGATGTTCCTAACATAACTATCGATACTTATTTCACTCGATACAAAAAGTAGCAGCACCGCATTGGTCTCGCTCGGCAACAAACTTTTCAACTTATATTGCCGCGCGAGACCAATGTGGACTCGCATTTTGAAAATAAAATTCATGAACAAAATTACATTTTTGCACCTAAATTTAAAGTTTACTAACTAAAGATAAGGTCAGCTTGATAAAATTAACAACAAAATAACAACTGGCCAATTGAAACGGGTTTTCAATGAACATTTTGGCACTTTACGTGTTAAGGCTCGCTGGTCCTTTTCAGCTTAAAGTATAGGGATCCACCATACTAGTTAGCGTTCGCGTGTTCTAATGCGTTGAAGCTATCCCACTTCTGACACCAATTTCTTAAATCATGGACTGCACTTCAGTCCATTCAAAATTACAAGAGGTTTACATTGAACCTATTACTAAAATGACATGACGGAGTCTAACCGGGTATTAAACTTATTACTATAATGACATGACGGAGTCTCACCGGGTATTGAACAACACAGGGTTGCCAGGTCGTTTATCTCAATTTCCCCAGTTCAAATTTAAAAATCCCCTAAATTTAGGACTTTTCGGAAAAAATTAACTATTTTTATTTTTTATTTTTAAAATATTAAGGTATCTAGCGGTTATAAGGCCCACCTAAGGGAAATGTAGGTATAAAAATAATACACATCAATAAAATGTGGAAAATATTTATTCAACTGAGTATAACAATCAGTAATAAAACATTGTAGTGTTTTAAAAAGAAAAAATAACATTAATACTTCTTTAAAAAATACTTCGAATAAGTTTTGTCATTTGGGCCTTATTACCAACTGAGTTGGGTGATAAAGCCCATAGCATGATGTACAAATTTATGGAGTACAATTTGGGCATACGACATCTTCTTCGTCCTCAACCGTCATACCAATGCATTCTTCATGCACCCAGTTATCGCACTGAATGCATTTTCTCATATCTGCAATGAAATCCTCACTACAGGCAACACAAAACCAACTTTCTTTAGTAGACGATTGCCTTTGGTCTTGTGATGGTGGTTGGTGTTGCACTGAATCGGTTTTTCTACTTTCAAAAACTTGTCTTGTAACTACTTGCGCTTTATAGTTTAGCGCTTTTTTTCTGGGGACTTTAGTGACTTCAGTTGTCTTGCCAGGTGTGATCAAGTGTTGTGTAAATGAATTGGAAGCCTTATCTGTTCTATTTTCCTAGCTGTAGCTTGTAATAATGCTAAAGGAATATAATCTTCCGCTTCCCATTCCTGGATATTGTTTTCAGTATTTTGCGCTGTCGTCGTTTCAGGTGGACGGTATGTTGGTAAACTGGGAGCATAAGCATACAAAGGAATCACCTCCTTATTGGAAGGATAGATTCCAGTAGCTCGGAAACCACTGACAATATTATCTATGGACATGCATTTTCCCCAGACAGAAGTAAAAACATCCGAAAAGCGTTCCTTGTTTAGTTTTCTATCTGGGTACTTATCCCAGTATGACAGAAGTTCCTCATCCCAAAAGTGCTCGAAGGAACGAAATACACTTTTGTCCATGGGCTGAAGCTCATGGGTGGTATTGCTAGGCAAACATAGCAAATGTATGCCCAGTTCTTGTGCTTTGTCTGCAATTGAAACGTCTAAGTGTGAAGCATCCCCATCGAAAATTAAGAGAACCGGACGTTCAGACATATATTTTGCAAAGTGGTCTAGCCATTGTATGAAGATTTTGGTAGTCATGCTTCCTTTGAGTGTCATCGCTACTGCAGAACCATGAGGTAAACCGTCCTTAAAAGTTGGCTTCAACCTCTGACCTTTGAATAAGATCATGGGTGGGATAGCATTTCCTAAAGCATTCGCGCATGCTACTACTGTTACGTTTTCTGCGTGCTCCGGTGCTACAAGATGAACACGTTTAGCTCCTCTTTGAGCCAATACAGTTTGTTGGTGATGGAGGGTTAATCTGCACCCTTTCTCGTCCATATTATAAATTTTTGATGGTTCATTCTTCAGTCCAGTTTCAGTCAGGATATTCGATAATTTATTAAAATAGTCGTTCACAATAGTTGGGTTCAGCTTCTGGGCCCTTGCCGGATTCATAGACTGTGCTTTTCTAAGTGATAAACGGGGGTGTCGTTTCATAAAAGCCCTGTACCAATCTCTGCCCGCGGCTTTTTTGTCCTTATTGAACTTATGTGGTATTTTCTTGTCTTCTACATATTTGTAAACACACCTGCAAACCCTTTTTGGTGTCAGGGGAAATCCTCTGTCGGCAAAACGAATTATTTTTTCTTCCAAATCATCTTCTTGACTGGTAAGGATAGCCTTTCCACCCAGTTTTCGTATGGAGGTGCCAGTCTTCATATGATTGCGTAGTGTTCTTCTTGGTATTCCGCATCGTTGCTCGACATACCTTTGCGATTCACCTTTTCTCAGCAAAGACATTGCTTCCTCCATCATTTCCTGCGTCCAATTAGCACGCATACCACGGCATTTTTTCCCCATTTCTATAAAAGGCGAGAAAAACAAATGTTACACTATTACCATTCCTTATTACAGTTGCGGGTCATAAGGCCCAGCCAAGAATTCGGTGGGCTTTATCACCCGCACCGCACGGTTTTACATTTTTAGGTTATAAACACCATAAACTATCAATAATCAATTTGAAAACTTAGAAGAGAGGTTCTAAATAGTCACTAACTACATAGCTGCAATTTGGAGTATACACGTACACTCTAATGTAGACGTTAAAACAACGAAAGTAACAGATTTCTTATAAAATCTACACAACGCCAACTTCCCCAACCAACTTTTAAGTCCAACTGCCAAATATGTATTCGCCATGTCCAGAGCTGATTACTATACGTATTCAGGGTAACAGACGCGCTAATAGATGGCAGCACTTTGCACTTTTCTCATTTTGTTTTCGTTAAACATTCTATGGGCCTTATTACCCTCCTGGGCCTTAACACCCCCGGACACCTTATTATGACTGAAATATTTTTCCTATGTCGCTGAATACTCCAAAAGATTATTTTTCGAATCTAAACACAAATAAATACATACATAAAGTCCTAATATTTAATAACCATATTATTTATCTTTAAAATGTAAATGAACATGGAAAACATATTAACGATTAAAAACAAATGTTAAATGTATTGTTCATAAGATAAATAAAAATATAAATAGATAATAGACAATTGAGAAAAATATAAATTAGTCATTAACCCTTAAACGGGGTAGTCTAGGTAGGTCTATATTAAAAGTCCTGACTAATTTTTTGAACTTTTTTTGATCAAATACAACAAAAAATAACATTTTTCAGATAAAAAAAATAAAATAAAAAAAATACTAGTTGTATCTTCGAATGCACATTGCCTCTAGGAGGAACATGATTACTTGGAATGGTAACTTGTGAAGCAGTTTCTCTGATTAGCTCCTGATACGATGCATAAGCGCAAATTACATTTTTGACATAAAATTGTTGTTTGTCCATTTGTGCAAAGCCTACAGCGGCCTTTTTCAGTGAAAACTGGAAAGTGTCCAACGTTGTCAAACCGGACATCTTCAGTAGGCCGTGGAGCGGCGGGAACTTTTATTTTGTTTTGAGGGAGCAAGTTTGCTGCAGCAGAAGTTCTTTTTCTGGGTACGTTACGAGATTGAATCAAAGACTTTGCGATGTTTATTCTGAAGTCTTTGAGCTTATTATATTTTTTGCCTTGTGAGGCTAGATCTCTCCGATACAATAGCCAGGCATTATTGACAGTTATATCAATCATCTGACTAAACATAGCGAGATACCATCGCTTTGATTTGAAGGGAGTCTTGTACAGTGAAACCAGCATATCAGATAAGTCTACGCCTCCCATATGAATGTTGTACTGTTTGACTATTTGAGGGCACTGAACTTGTTCTTTACTAAACCGGCTAACTTCAAACACTGGACTGTGCGAAATGTACGAACTCGCCAGAGTCACACATTTAGTGTCTGCCCATTTTATCACCGCTAGTCCCACGGAATTGTCTACTCTGTAATCAAAGCTACCTCTCCCCTTCCATAGAAGTTCTTTGTCTCTTAGCAAGGGACATCCTCTTAGTCTGTTGCTTCTAATGGTTCCCAAACTTGCCAATTTTTTATTTTTCTTCAAGTATTCAATTAGTTCCAATGAACAAAAGAAGTTATCAAAATAGACGAAAGACTCTTCTGGCTTCTGAATAGTTCTGCACAGGACAAGTACCACTTTTGCACCAAGTCCCATTTGTTGTTCCTCCTTTGAAAATAGAATTTCGTCAAAAGTACTAGAGCCGATATAGATGAGAAAGTCTTGCACAATCCTTGACACGCCTGCTCGAACGAACATCTTGAACCCCTACTTCTTTGGCTTTTTAGGCATATATTGGCGCAAACTTCCAGCTTTCTTGCCTTTGTAAGCAATCATCATTTCATCTATAGAAAACAAACCTTCCTCTTCGATAGCTATACATTCTTGTCGCAGTTTTTCTAAAAGGGGGCGAATTTTGAATAATCTATCTCCTTGCGGATCAGTATTGTTATCCTGAAAGTGTATGCGTCTTCGCAATTTGTTGAAGCGCTTTACAGGCATAACATCGGCAATAATACTATATCTCGTTTCTATGGCCCAGTAGTCTTCGATTGCTGGCATTTGGACTACCCCCATTATCAACTCAATTCCTACAAACGATCTTATTTCATTAGCTGTAGTATCAATAGAACGCCCAGTTGTCAGTGTGGAGTAAATATTCGTTTGGTGTGCTCAAACAAATCATCGTCAAAAAATTTTTCGAAATAAGCCAGAGGGGAATATTCTCCGTCTACTCCAGCAAAAAAGACATCTTTTGGATATCTGATGTGTTGGAAATCTGTTTTGCTCCAAGTGTAACGTTTATCACCACCTGGTATAGCATTATCTCTCGATGTTTGCACTAAATTCGCTAAAGGTAAATCATCTTCTGATTCCCAGTCGCTTGAAGTATCAACTACTGGTAAGCATTTGCGCTTCTTAGATGTGGGCGGCTGCTGATAATCGGGGTCCAAATCGCTATAGTCTCCGCCAAACAGCTCCTCCTCATCTGATGCCAACGTCTGATACACATGGATCGTCCGGTGGTAGCACAGCAACAATATGTGGAATATTTGCTGCTTTTCCGTAAAATATGCGGGGAGCGATACCCTGAAATAGTTCTTGAAGTTACCATGTATTCTAACATAAATTGCGTATCAAATGTCTTACGTTATTTTTAATGGGCAATGTGCATCTAGGGATACACACATTTGTAGGACAAAAACTAACCTCAAAAATTTATTCAAAGAAAAACTAAAGCAATGAAGACTCAAAGGAAGCATCAACTTTCATAATTATATAATTACGAACACACCAGAGGCTGTAGTAACTAATTTGTACTATATTGAGCTTACCGGGGTCAAAACTTGTTGATTATCCATAATAATGACACAAAGTACCACCTACCATGCGGACAACTGCAAATAAAATGAACCGGCATAGGCGACACAACGTTGCTAGTGAATGTATCTCACACTATACACCGCCCAATTCGCTACATTTTAATGGGTTTTTAAATACATGCCCGTACCATGTGACCGTATCTCAGGAGAGACATCGACCGTTTAAGGGTTAATTGTAGCGAAAATGTCGTTTTCTTGCGCAGCGTCATACATGGTAGTATTAAAGTAATGTAACATTTTTTCACTTGGCACAAAACTAGCGCAACTGTTACTCATATTCATAAGGTGAAATCGCAATCGCATTATGCTATCTGCACTAGAAATTGCCAGTCTGTTCCTTATATTGTCTTTAATGAAATTCGCTACTGAAAATGCTCTTTCTACAGCGGCGTTGGAGAATGGTAGCGAAAGAAGTGCTTAAGCCAATTTTTGCTATTTGTGGAAAGCGTTTTTCACCCAATGCATTTATATTTTCAGCCACCTCAACCCAGAATGGTTCAGCATCGTTCAAATGTTGCCATTCTACTCGATGCAGAGCGTTCCATTCGCTAACGGTAGAATCATCATCTGCACAGATTATGTTCTTGAAGTTGAAAGTTAGATCTGTTATGTCCAATTTTCTAGCTTGTGCCGTGGAATTTTCCGGAGTTAACGAGAAAATCCAAATGTTTAGGAAATGATTTAAAAGAGTGCTCGGCAGCCAAGCGTAGGGAGTGGCAAACACAATTAACCACTACCAAATCTTGATGTGTCATTGCTCTTAGATTCGTTGAGAATGAATTATGCTTCCCAATCAACACATTTGCACCATCTACTCCAACCCCAATTAAATTTTGTATTGGCAAATTATCTTCTATTAGTTGACGCCTCAATGTTTCAGTTAATGTTAAAGCATCTCCGGCGTCAATTTCTAATAATCTATAAAAGGTAGTTGTTATTTTTCTCTTGAATTTACTAAAATATTTTATTATAATACACGTCATTTTGCTACAGTCAATTGCTGCGATTTCATCAATAATTAGGGAATATATTTCATTTCCAAGTTCAAAAATAAGTTCCTCTAATAAACATGGAGCAATCACATTTAAAATGAAGACTGTACATTTTGTTCTGTGTATTTTTACTCCCTTGAGTAGTTCGGAATTATCGTCTACATTATTCAATAATTCGCTCAAATGATCCGCTGTTCGTGTAGAACGATGCTCTGCGATAAAGGCGGCTATTTTCAATTCTGCAATTTTTCTTTTCTTGGAAATATTTACTGAAATACATTCGGTGATTGTCTTACTTGGTCCAGCCGTACACCTCTTCTCAGATTCTATGTGTTTCTTTGATTTACTGTGTACCAGCAGATCCTTTTTGTGTGCGATTAGCGAACAATTGCATATTTTACATAAAGCTTTTTTCTCGTCGTGAGGATCGGGGACAAGTCAATCTATCAACAATGTATTTAACCCTCAACTGGTGTCGTGATTTATTCTATCGTTAACTGCGTCCTGGGGTCTACTGGACCCCATTTTTTTGGTCATTTTTTTTTGAAAATAAAAAAGGATATGTTATGTTCTTATTTTGTTTCAATGTGTGATCATTTAAGCTGCAATAAAATCATGCAAGCCCATTATTTAATGCTAAAAAGTGTAACATAATGTATTTTTCATGGGTTTTTGACACAAGAACATAAGATTTTACAGAAAAAATATAAAAATTGAATGATTATTTTTATATTGATTTTTTCGTTTTATACGTAGTCGTGCCATAAGTTCTGTCCCATGATAATCTCATGATAAAAATGAAACAAGATAAGATATATTTATATGAAAGATATTATTTATTCGACAACATTTTTAGAATTCATAATCAAACAGTTTTATTCAAAATTTCCCCCCTTGGCCTTCACACACTGCTTCAATCTCGCGGGCCACTCATCTATCACTGCACGCACAGCTTCCAAAGGAATAGCTGCCGCTGATCGGATCAAATCCGCTTTCAGGGACTCGATATTACGGTGGGCTTTGGAGCAGGCCAACTGCTCTAGCAGGTCCCACAACTTGTAGTCTAAAGGATTGAGGTCCGGACTCCCTGAGGGCCAATCTTCCGCAGCAATGAACTCTGGCACATTGCTTTCCAGCCAGCGCTGCGTACTCTTAGCCTTGTGAGCGGGGGCGGAATCCTGCTGGTAGACCCAGTGTTGGTTGGCAAACAATGTACCACTTAAAGGCTTGACGATAGGATCCAGTATGTCGCTCTGATAGTTTGCCGCTTTTGTTTTCACGCCCTGTTTACAGAAATGGAGCTGAGTGACCCCTTCGTAGGACACCCCCCACCAAACCATGACTGACGCAGGGTGGTGGCCTCTCTCAACTCTCGGAATGATCTCCGAAGCTTCCTGTGAACTCCTTGCATACACTTTGTCATTTTGTCGGTTGAATTTTTCTTCTATGGTGAAGATTTTCTCATCCGTGAACAAAATCTTTCGGAATCCCCCAGCTGCGTACCTCTCCAAGAGCTTCTTGGATCTTGTCGCCCTGATGTGTCGCAAGGGGGCCGTAAGTCGCTGGCCCGTACGTCTCCGGTAAGCCCCTAGCCCTAGGTCTTGTTTAATGATGCGCGACATCGTCCGGACAGGAATCTTCATTTCCCTGGACAGGATCTTCTGCTTCCGGAGTGGATTCCTTTGAATCCTGGCTTTTACGGCTTTGATGGCTGCTGGAGTCCTTACTTGACGAGGTCTTCCGCTTCTTGGCCTGTCATCAACAGAGGACGTCTCATTGTACCGCTGAATGGTCCTAGACACAAATTTACGCGATATTTGAAGGCCGCGTAAGAGTTCAAAAATCTGACTAGCACTGTGATTACACTTATGTAAAGCTATCACTGCAATACGGTTCTCTGCCTTGCCCCACTCCATCCTTATGCTTCGAGAGATCAATACAAACTGAGGTATATGTAATTACCCGAAAAGCGCTTAATCAACTGACACCACAATGTAAACAATCGGACAAGTATTAACAGGTCTACACTTGTTTGAAAACGAGGGACAGAACTTATGGCATGACTATGTATACAGAACAGACAACTAAAACAAATAAACTTTTTAACTAAAATATATTATTTTCAACAAAACTGTGGACTATTTACAACTTACATATTTCTAAATACAATTCTTGCAAACATAGGCCCTGCAGTCGCCGCACATGGGTCGAGAACATTTGCTGCACGACATTTTTGTTTTTTTGTCATTCTTCCGATCACAAATACCACATCTCTTTCGTTTCTGGCCCTGATTGCTTAATTCTCCCCTCTCTTCTTGAGGTAAAGCCTTGTTTAGTACTCTGCTGATACCTATACGAAGCTCCCTAGGTAATCGAAAATTGTATAATCTTACATTGAGATATGGTTCTGCAAGTTGTCTTGCAAGAATTTTGTAAAAGGCTTTTCTCTCTAGCGCTTGGTTGTTTTTATAACATCCATGTAAAATGTGTGCATTGACACCCGCAATATTCAATATTGTGAAAAAAATAGTCATTGGCCATCGCCTAGTTCGCCGATTTGTAGAGTATGTGGTACATTTTTGATCTAGTGCATCCACACCGCCTTTTGTTTGATTATAGAAGGAAATTATTTCGGGTTTACCAGATTCTTTGTCCTCACATTCGGTGTGGTGCATTGATGATATTAGCACAACTGCCTTCCCTTTTTTTGGGACGTAGGAGACGATAGTGAAGTCGTTTGTAAAACCATAAATGGAAGATCCTTCAGTTCTTCTCCGATTTGGAAGGAACTGCACAGGTATCTCCTTTTTGTTTCGCTTAAGCGTGCCAACATAGGTGAGTCCTCTTTTTTTTAATTCATTCATGACTTCTATGGATGAAAACCAATTGTCTGCTGTGACATTTCGGTTTGAATTAGCAATCGGACGACACAGTCTCAACACAGATTGTGTTGGTTTCATGAAACGTCTCTCCTCATTCGTTAGAGAAACACTATCACTATCCTTACCACTGTAAATATAACCATTATAGAAATAGTGGGTCCGTGCGTCTGTTAAGGCCATAATTTTTAGTCCATATTTCCGAGGTTTATTAGGTATGTACATGCGGAATCTACATCTGCCGCGAAATCCTATCAGCATTTCGTCAATACAACACAATTCTCCTATCGAATAGCAGTCTTGGCAATTTTTCACAAAACGCT